CATTCTGGAACACCATGTTCCGTCTGGCTTCCAGGCTTGAATCTTCCAGCAATAATGGTAGGCTATTTTCAAGGAAGCTTTTGTAGGCTACCGAATCCAACCTTGACGGCAGTTCAAATGGACCGATAAATTCCATATTGAATATTCCTGACCACATGTTCACACTAAAACGGTGTTGAAATGTCGATGCATTATTATTATGGCGTTGCTCAAGGCAACGGCGCTTTAGCAGCTCAGCTGTACCGGGAACAACTTATACGCCGAGGCGGACCACAACCTGAGCATTACCCAGACCACCGTGTTTTTATTAACACACATAACACTTTCATGGCAGGCCGCATTCCAGGACGAGGAAGCAATGAAGGATATCCTACAGCTGATCCGGATCGCAGAGAAGTAGTACTTGAAGAAATTAGCCGGAATCCCTCAACGAGTACGAGATCTATGGCACAAAACCTTAGAATACCACGAACATCGATACAAAATATTCTTCATGAAGAAGGTTATCATGCCTATCATGTTCAAAGAGTTCAAGCGTTGATGCCTTCAGATTACCAGTTAAGAGTGGATTTCTGCGAGACAATGCTGCGAAGACAACGAGAGGATCCCGATTTTTTTGATAAAATTTTATGGACTGACGAGTCACGTTTTGAAAGAACAGGGATATTCAATATCCATAATTTACATACTTGGGCTGTTGAAAACCCCCACCAGTCAAGGCCGTCGACATTTCAACACCGTTTTAGTGTGAACATGTGGTCAGGAATATTCAATATGGAATTTATCGGTCCATTTGAACTGCCGTCAAGGTTGGATTCGGTAGCCTACAAAAGCTTCCTTGAAAATAGCCTACCATTATTGCTGGAAGATTCAAGCCTGGAAGCCAGACGGAACATGGTGTTCCAGAATGATGGTGCACCATGCCACAACGCAACGATCGTGCGAAACTACTTAAACGAAAGGTTCCCAGACAGATGGATCGGACGAAACGGACCGATACGATGGCCTCCATGCTCCCCTGACCTCAACCCTATTGATTTTTTTGTTTGGGGATATTTTAAAGACATAACATTCGCCCAAGAATGTGCAAATGAAAATTCATTGAGGAACAAAATTCAAGAAGCGACACATGTGTTGAAAAACAACACAAAAGCTTTAAAATTTAAAAGATTTAAAACAAAATTTCATACGTAGGTGTACACTGTGCATTTCTGTTAGAGGCAGACATTTTGAAAACCTCTTGTAAATAACATAAATGAATAATAATCTGCTGTTCAGTAAAAATCAAACGTGTTTTTGTGGTTTTTGCAAATTTTTTTTCCGAAACTAACAATTTCTATTGAGCAGAGGGTTATCCAATTTTGGGTTCGGTTCTATTTGAGCCACAATTACGGTAGCATGTAGTAAAGCTAGGTTGATGAAATTTTTACGGTAAATAGCTGATACCGTAAGGAAGTTTTTAAGATACTTACGAATAGTAAGAACATGTTTTTTCAATTTTTTATAAACGTTCAAAGTTGTTGCACTTTTTTACTTTTTTGTTATGTTCGAAGATTTTGAAAAAAATTAAAAAGTAGTATTAGTTACATGACTTGAATGATTATATGATAGTTAAGCCTTAGGTCTTAGCTACATAATCGTGAAAAAAGCAGGCATTTATCACAATTATTAACGAAGTTATGGTAAAAATAAACACAGAACTCAAAAATTCTTGAAAAATCCGAAAAAAAATCATAACTCCTAAACTAAACAAAATCGGACCATATATATGGGGGTGATTTGGGTTCCTCTCGATGTGGGGAATCTAATTTTTTTTTTATGACGTCACGTGTTTGGCCACCCTGTATATACATATGTAATTCATCCACGCTGATGTTATTTATATCAACAATGCACGTCCTCGACGCGCGTTTCGCCATCAGTATATAATATCAACTCTTATTTTGTTTGAAAAACGCGCATCGTGTATTATTGCAATATTGTGAATATGTATAAATAGAAAAAAAAATGAAATAAGTTCTATAATGTTCGAAATAACATAAAATATAAGATAATTATATGTAACTTTTATTCGTTTGTCACTTCTCGCAGATCGTCATTTTGTTTTTTTTAATGTGTATTGTTTTAAATTTCTTTCGATAGTTTAAGGACATTTCTTGTTGATTAATGTCCCCAATAATGTAATAATAAAGACAACGCTTTAATCTATTCTTCTTTCCTTTTAGATTAACGCGTGCTTGATTATTATTCTTGTAATATTATTGATAAAGTAGTACCCTGTTATATTATGTACTTCATTGGAGCAACACTGTATTGATTACAGGGTTTTACTAAAATAGACGAATGCAGTAACGAAGTTAATGTGGTTGTTACGATGTTTGACTGAAATTGTTCAGTCATTACAGGGAATGACTGGGATGCTCAGTCAAACGTTGTAATAATCAAACTGTTACGCTGTTTTCCGGCAATACGGGGACTGACTAGGCATTTCAGGGAATGACGGATTTCAGCGTTTGACCCCGACATATATACTACTGGTATCCGGAGTGCTCCATACTGAGATAACACTTTTTCAAACTAAGCTTACGAAAACATCAAAGATTCTCTTCAATGTTCTTGTCTGTAAGCTCCCTAACATCTCACTATGAAACTATATAAAAAAATGATTACACGTCTCACACTGTTTCACAACGTACAGCGCTCTCCTGATTCGCGATTAATTAGGCAACTTAACGAAACACAACGCAGAAACATAATGAAGTTAGCGTTAAGCTTCGGCAACACGATACGCGTACGTCTTTTGTAATTTCATAGCTGATTCGAATTTTATATTTACTGTAATAACGGTTCACTTTGCGGCTCCGAGCTGTATCAAATTGACGTGCAACGTGCTGGTCATGACACCAAAATTTAGTGTAAAGTTTGCTTTAGCAATAATTTTAGATACAATTTTGATTTCTATTAGTGGACAATATGCTTAAGTCACATAGTAGTTTCACTATGGAGTTTTTCTACCTGAGAGTGGCTGTAAAAGCTTTCCCCTCCCTGCCAAAAAATGCATAGTCGTTGATTGAGATCTCCTTATTTGTTTCTCTTGTCAATTATTAACCTGACGCTTAGTGCCAAATATGTTTTCTATAGACGTAGGAACCAAAACGGAAGCTTCAAAGTAAATGACTATGCATGGCAATAAGAAGAACTCAGATTGAACAAGCAGGACATTTATACTGATATAGCCAGCTCGCATGTCTCAAAACTGTCAAGGTATATAAGCCGTCCACTAAAATGCATATAACATACGAGGCGGGAAAAATTAAATGTGTTGTGTAAACCGGGCTTTAGAATCCGCCGAATATTCAGTGGCCTTGACTGGTTGAAATTGCTGGGCGGCAGTGTACGTCTTCGAAAAAATTGTTCACCTGTTGCTTGACCGTGAAACAGTGCACTGACACTTTGCAAAGCACAACGCACTCGACAAAACAGACGGCAAGCCAAACATTTGCCGTCCGGTTTATTTGTTATGGCAAAAAAGTAGGCCGACATCGACACTCGATTATGTCACTAGCAAATGAAGGAAAATTTGCCAATAATACTAATGCGAAAAAATCTGGTGTTAGTGAACTTGGTACCTTATAATAAGTCTATGACCAATACACAATTATTTGGTAATTTGTAGCAGACTAAACTTTTACATTGTTTGTTGTCAAACACAGTTGAATCTATTTAATGGATACGCAATGTGTGGAAACAGACAAACCTTTTTAATTTGAGGTATTTCTTATTAAACATCTGAGAAATTTGGAATATTATTTTTGCCGAGAATTATTTAGCTTTTATTTTGTAGGATTATTTTTTTAAATCTCCTATTTTCGTATACCACGATGTTTACATTCATCGAAAAATATTTTGTAAACGTGAAATTGGGCGTAAATCTAAAGTATCTCATAATTTCGAGTTTCTCCATCCTCAAGACTGCACAGAACTGATGCGCTTGCAGATTCACCGAGACTCGATTACTATTCTAGGATGACCGTGCTAATAAAGATGTCTTTGATCCCCATATGATAATACTAGAAGACGACATCACTGTCTTTTTGCGCATACCCTAAATAACGCGACATTGTTATAAATCAAAAATAACTTGAGACTTCCTGCACGGGCTCAGATTAAAGTGATGAGATAGAAAGATTGGTAATGAGAAACGTAGATTCTTGTCGCATGAGCTGAAAAGAGCACTTCACAGAACAGTTTTGATTTTTGATAATTCAGTAAGGGCTTTTGATTTAAACAGATTATTTTTTTACATTTTGCGAATTTTTGCATAGCTAAACCCCACTGTTTTCTTGATTCTTTAATAATAAAATCCCACTTTTAAGGTGAATAAGTAATTTTCATAATGGAAAATTCTAATTCTGAGACAACATTCCAAACATTATCCTAGTAGCGATAAAATGCATATCCATGTTGATCGAACAATGTATCCGTTGTGATATCCCCTCAAAGACGGAAGTTGTCTCATCTCCAAGCGAACTCTGATTCGAGATTCATGGCTCTTGTCTACACGTGTATAGACACAATCAGTATATAAATCCGGCATTATCCTTGGCAGTAAACTGTATATACACAAGCTGAATACTGAATTTTCTGCGAGTTTATTGTACCGATTTGTCATTGACCAGATACGCCGATGTTTTCGCAATGTTGTAATAGCGCAGTACCACTCAACTTTTCAACAGATATCTGTTGAAGAATGCAGCATATCGTACACTTTCTGTTCCAGACTAGGGGGGTGAGAAACAATGATTTAGTGAAATCGATCGGCAGATGAGCAGACTCAAATTAACTAGTTACTGTACTACGGCGTCGTCTGCCATATGTTACATGAAGTCAGTTACGCTCAATGCAAAAACAAAGGAAAAGCTGTGCTGATTCTAGATTATACATTCATGCTTATATTTTTAAGATTCATCTTACCAACTGCACCATTTCTCATTACTTACTTCCTGCACAGCTGACAACTTGATTGAATATTAACTGAATTGACATTTTTCTACGTATAAATTATCTCATACTCATTAGCAGAATGTCAAACATAATCAGACAAACCTTATGTGTTCGGAATAATGATTTACAATGAATAAACAGGAAAAGGAATGTGACCGCAAATATTGACTTTCAAATTCATATGTTTTTTTTGGAACTTCTATTACGTTTATACTCAGAAAATATATGTTACTATCTAATCCTTATAGATTTCCACTTAAATACGTAGAACCTGGATCGGTCTATGAGAAATCAATTTATTCTGGCTAGCAACAAACATTCTTTTCGTTATGTTTGAGAATTCTTCTATTGTGTTTTTGCGATGTAGCACAAGCAATGCAAGATGTAAGCAACATACAGCTACTGCAACACATACAAGTATAAAGGAAAATTTGGATCTAACTAAAGGTGATAAACCCCTTACTACTACGATCCGGAAGACTCAACACCCATAAACACCAAAATAAAATCACATATACAGTAACTCAGCAACTAATTCTTGCACATGATGGGCAATTCAGATCAAATTTAATACCAGTTTGGAAAGTAGGGAGCAGAGATGTGTATCTGTTTTAAAAATACTGTAATCCCCGCAACGTATCACTCCACGTATACACCACACGTGTTTTCCATATATTTTTTTTAAACGACAAACAACTACAACTCTTAGAAAGCTGATTAGTAATTTGAGACAATGTGATGCGTCTGAGAAATCACATGGGTGCATTCAACCGATGTATGCTATTAAATCCTACTACAGTTGACATTTATTCCATTTCGATAAAAATTCCAGAAAAGCGAGGATGTTTTCCAACACAGCTACGCTGCGCCGCCAATGACGACTTATAGTGCAGTCAAAGAATACTGAAAAACCAAACGTGGTGTATAATGAATTTACGAGTATAGTATAGTCTCAGAATAACACGTTAATATCTCATATGCATAAAAAACATAATAAATAATGCCACTGATTCCTATCAAAAAAGTTTTGTTAAATAGCTTTTGAACATTACACTGCTGATAGTTTTCACATAATGTACGTTAAATAACAGTTCAACGGTAATATGGGTATCCTGATCTTTAAGCTGTAAAAATGTTATACTTGTTTGTCTTCGATAAGAAGGATCGTCTCATTTCAATACCCTACGAGTTTTGGTCCTGGATGCAGTATCCTGGTTTCGCGATTTTAGGAATATACGTGTAGTAATTCTGATAACTAATTCGTAATCAGCGTCCCGGAAAAAAAAAACAGGAACTACATTTTCAGATTACTCAAATTTTAGATTTCTGTCAGACTTTTTTGGGAATAGCTGCACTGTAAATAGATAGGAACGGTACTTAAACAAGAATCTCAAAAGCTTCTCAACAAAAGCTGTTTATAGTCCCAAATAATTTTTAACCAGATCGTGTCCGTATATCGCTAAGTAGTATTATCACAGATTTCATTGTATTGTATTTGGCAGTCTATAAAATTTAAATATTACTAGAACTGATTGTTTGTCTTATCGACACAAACAACTACGGCTTCTACTTTGACTGGTGTAAGGCATATAAAAAATGAAGGCTGTTACCTGAATTTTTATGCAAATGCTCGGGATGTGCGGTTATTTGTCCAACAGACTCTACAAAATAATGTTATTTACACGCACGACAATAGTGCAAGTACAGCTGTAAAAATACCTTGCCAAGAATTTTTCTTCGTGGAATAACAAAAACCGTAAAAGTTAACGTTTCAACTATCGGATTTAGCAGACGAAACGACGAGCATGTTGTCTGTCTGTGGATTATAATGCATGAATATATATCACAGTGAATAAAAAAATTGCCATATACGAATACTATTTACCTATATGGAAGAGTTACACCGAAATGTACGTGGTAACATATTTAAAAATAAGTACCCTTTTCCTGAAGAGAATGCTTAAATAAATCAAAATGGGCGTTCTAAATATAAGACCTATTGGTGCAACTCGTGAACTAAGATGTTAGAAAATGTGGCAACGATTTCAATTTTTCAATAAAGAAAATTCGATGGAATAAAAACGGCAAGAATTAAACCCAGGGTTAATTGATTTTTGCAAAAATGATACGCTCAAAGCTGCCATACTTCATTCTGAAAACATACCTATATGGCGTGACTTAAAAACTAGATTTGATACTGATAAGTGTAGATTTGTCATAATATTACTATAAAAAAGTAAATTATCATGTATCAGACAGCACATTTCCAAATTTGTTTTTTCTATATTCGGCAGGTTGAATCAATAACATTAATCTTTAGTTGTTGTTAATACCGAAATCCCTCTGTATACTTAAAAGAGGCGGTTCATTCATCCGAACATATCTGACGCGTTATTATGAAGCACCCATTTCTACTACATGGTTTGAATCAACAATTTTTCTTAGAACAATTCCAAGATGAATTATGTACATCATAAATGTACGATGTCATTTTTTTTAGACAACTAAGAACCAAAATATAACAGGCCTCTGATAAACTGTGCCTCAATACTTAGAATTAGTCTTCCAACGTTATATTATAAAATTTATGTATTTTGAGGACGGATTTTCGACCCTCTTCATTTTAAAGTTTTCACATAATCTCATGATTTTTTATGAACACTACACTTATTTGGCTGGGCTATAAAAGTTTTAACATTTATATTACATATGATAAGATTCTTTATAGGCACTTCGATTTAAGCTCCAGAATATCGCCAATAATTTTATCACACAGCCTATGACCTTAACAACCACTTTTTATCTCACTGGTGCCGGTATGTATTGCAAAGATCTAGTAAAAGGTCAAACATTTTCAGAAGCAACAGCGGCAATAGACCTTGTATTTTAAATGGTTATGTAAATATACAATCAGATAAAATCCAGAGTTTGATATTGATACCACTCCAGCACGTGTATTACACAAAATTGAATATAGAACATTTTCTTTTCTACGCATTAAACTGGTGTAAACTAATATCTAGTCATGATCAATTATTTTTTGAAGACTAATTTAGTTTCTTTTTAATTGACTTCCACCGTGTAAAGCAAGCTCATTGATTTGTAGTATGGAATAATGGAAGAACATATCTAGAGTGGCGCACCACATTTTCAAATTAATAAGAGTTTTAAATAATTCAGAGACAGCTATATTATGAGGCTCTCAAAAATCAAGTAGGTTGACTCATGACTGAGTTTATTTGTATGTGAATATTGTTGAACCGTTTAAAGCTAAAAGATCAGCGTCTATATGGAGTGTATGGCCATGAAAATAACTAAAATTTTAAGTTGATTTTCGAATATTTTTTTAATTTTTAGATTAGCGCATGAAATCGATAATAAAACAACTCACAAAGACACAAAACATATGTAAAAATGACTGCGGTCACAATAAAAACATTATATGTTTATATGTTTTGCGTCTCAGTGAGTTTCATTATACATTTCAAGTAGTAAGTGTTGCGACCATGCTCTCTTACAAAAATAATTAGTTAAACATTAGAAAATGCATAAAAATATCAAAATTTTAGGGTACTGAAGAACAAATACTATAAGTACTAAGTTAAAAGAAGATGTTGAAAAAAGGTTGAAATATTTAAATGGAAATCTTGCTTATAAATAGACCCTGATCCTGTGCAATTAAAGCGCAGTCTAAGTGAAAAAATAGCATTCAGAATTTTATAGACTATAATAACCGAAACAGAATGATGCTCTTAATGGTGACAAAGCAAATCTAAACAGTGTGACAAAAAACTCCCGACCCAGATCATTGGCCGCACTACATAGGTCGCCCTCTTCTTCTGTTGAATCGTTGGTTGTGTGTGTGGATGGCCATACAAGCCTCTTAATTGTAATTTCCGTTGTCATCCTAAAACGTCTTTCCGTTCGTCCCATAAATCAACATTGGCTTTGATAGGAGAGAATGCATGCAGCTGCTTCTACTGCACTGCTCGCTAACAATCACTAGCTAAGTTGCTCTCTATTCTATGAGAAACTCGAAAGCGCAATGACGTTGCAACAATGCCCGTATGGGTATAATGTAAGGAAAACTAGGGCTCGTACCCCGTAGCAGCGTCTCCCTTGACCCCTACCCCTCTCCCCTCTTTCAGATATTGCTCCGATCTAAGGGACAATTATGCACGGGGTGGTCACGTAATCGATTTCTACCAAAAGCTGATATAAATCCATCCAACAATAGGGGGCAAATTTCATTAAAGCAGCCAAAAAAATGAGTCGATTAGGTTATTTTAGAATTTGCTGTAAGGTGGTGCCAATTTGAATATAAGTACAGTATGCCCAATATGCGGTTATGGGAGATTTGAGGAGCAGGAATATCAGAGACTGGATGAAACGAGCATTAGACAAGTGGTGGAATAAACTTATTAAGTTTAGGGAATAAAGGCCTGTTTTATAGCTGTATATACAGTAATGGACAAAAGTATATAGACAAATATGAATGTTTACCTAAATACCTTTAGAAAACGAATTCATACTTCATTGCTCCATAAACAAATGCGTTATTAGTAGTAAAACTAGATTCCTTGTTTTTACATTATCTGCAATGAACACAATACAAGTCTGAATATAAGCAGTTTTTTATGAGGGACAAAAATATGTAGACAAATTCTTTTCAACATTAGTTTAGTACAGTTTCGTGTCAGAAGAGGATTAGTTTGTGTTCATCAAGTATCGTGAAATAAGTTGAGTGATTTTAAGACCATGCCTCGTGGTCCAGAAATTTCTTTCGATGTGAAAACTAAGATCATTGAGTTATACAAAGATGGTTAACGTCAAGTCGATATTGCCAAAAATTTGAAGCTGAAGCGTAAAGCAGTTTGGGCAATATTGAACAAATATAAACAAAAAGGTATCTTGGAAGCCTCTAAGTGGTCGGCCTAGAAAACTAAATGCTAGATCAGTTAGATTAATAAAAGTAATTTCGTCCAAAGATCCGTTTAAAACCCCAAGACAAATAAAAGCCGAAATCGAGACAACAGGAATTG